TGGGAAATGATCTTTTATGGATCATTCAGAAGCATGTTAGGTTAATCCCCTTTATTTGCCAGATTCTCCAAAAATATGCAGACATAGATGATGATTATTAATGAAAAGAAATTTTATTGTTATCAAAAAGGTGATTATTAATGAAAAGAATTTTGAGTTTCCATGGAAATCAAAGCAATCCACATAATTTCTTTTACTTTAATCTGATTATATACAGACCATCGATAGCATCTAACATAAGAAAAATCTGGCTTTGTTTTTTTTTCTGCAATTACAAATGCTTTATATGCTGCCATTTTTATGACACTTTTTGCCCCAAAAGTGATGGGAAGGTTATTTCAAGAATCTGGAAGCAAGAACTTAGGTCTCTATTGGGGAAAAAAACAAACAGCATCTTATAAAACGCTGCAAAAGTTTAATTTCAGACACAGGATATAAACCCCCCCGAATTGTTTGAATTTTACTCAGTTTTCTTTTCCTCCCTCTTTCTCCCACCTTTCCTTTCAGCAGGGGCTGGTCACACGTGCTTAGATCTCAATGCAAGTCCTTTAGAAATCTCAGTTTACTGCAGGCTGCTGTTCCAACATGTCACATCTTCAAATCTATTACAGAATAAGGTGACATTAATCTGCCAGTCCCTCTTCCCAAGCTCCTGACTTTTTCGGAGGCCTGAGGCAAACACATGTGCCCAGTCACTCAAGGATTTGCCGCCGTTCCACCGAGTCTCTACCCCAGCAGCTGTTGTTTAGTGATAGATCAGTGAAGCAAAAAATTATGCTGGTATAAAAAATAGATCTTGAACCACGGCTCTCATTCTTATGCCTCTGTTCTGCATTAGTGGCAAGCCTGTGGGATTCATTTAGCTGTAATCATTTGTTACTGAGGGGCAGAGTGTCTTTCAGACGCCGGTGATGGAGTCACCTTTGAAACGAGTGCAAATGAGTGGGGATCGTTCACCAATCCATCCTCCCCGGGTTGCAGTTTATACCTGGCACGTACTCCAAGAGCCTGCTCGGAATGTGTGGCACAAACATAAATATCAACAAAGGCATTTTATTTTTTTTTTTATTCCTATTTTTCTGAGACAGTTTAATTAGTTTACCGTCTGGATTTGTACTCCTTTATTGAAGAATGACAGATAGACAGACAAAGCAAGCTCCAGGAGGCAAAGTCTGCTTTTGTTAAATTTCTGTTTACACAGAGGGTGAAAAAGACCTGTGAGGTGTCTGCTCAAAACTCAGAGCCAATAATAGTAGTCAGTGGCTTCGGATTAACTGGAGAACTATTCCCACAGGATAGTTACAGTTGTTTAGGGTGAGGTTCTTAGTTCAGCTGCTTTCTCGTGCTCATTCATTTTCCAAAATCAAGTTGAGAAATGTAAGTTTTAACTCACTCGACGTGGAATTTAGTTTGCAGTTCACAGGTGAAGATGAGCTTGTGAGCCATGAAAGCACTTGAGGCACCTGTCACAAATATCTGATCATAGCAGGCAATTGAAAGCTTTAGTCTGTGCACTTTTCATACTGAATAAAAAACTGTGTCCAACAGAACATTTCTGGTTATGTATAAAAAATTACACCCATCCCCTAAAAGCTGTTTGTTCAGCTTGTGGTTTTTGGTTTGATTTGGGGTTTTTTGTTTCATTTTGTTTTGTTTTTCATAAAACTATTTGATCCACTCTGAATAATTTAGATATTGTCTATGGATCGTGAATGGAAACTAATATAAGGATCTTTCCAACTACCAATCTTCCAATATAGTTACAGATCTTTAAAAAACCACCCCAGTGTAAATTCCAGATCAAACACAGATTTAAGAAGAGCTTCAGTATCCAAGTAAAAATTTTCAATTTTAATTCCTCCATACCCTGAGTTTTTTCCATTTTGGTCAGACTAAGCCTGATTCTGGATGCACATGAAGTGCCAGAGATTCTCAGCTTTTCCTGTTAAGGGAAAAACACCTGTCAGGGTGTTTTTATTCTGCACAAATCTACAAATATCTGTGGAAGAGAAGAGCTTGTGTCTGCATTAAGCTGAGGGCTGAGCAGCATCACAGCTTTTCTCCTCTGGTTTTATCAGAAGGGCTTGGTCCTGCCTCACTTTGTGAACAGTTTTCTACTTCAGTATGAGTCTGCACTTTTTTCACTTAAAATAAGAAGGAAAAAAGAAAATTCAAGGGTGCTTTCATTAAGCAGTTGAATAATTAAAACAGACCCAGGAACCTGTTTACTTCTTTTTTGCCACCTGAAGTAAATCATACCCCATTCCACTTCCAGAAAATGAGTTCTAATGGCTATTCCAAGGCAGCAATACTCCATTCCTCCTCCTTGGCTGGAAAGAAGGATTTGATTGCTTCAGTCATGTAGGAATTTCTGGTTCTGTTTTTACTGTTTGGGTTATTTTTCCCAATAATAGATGAAATACAGAGTCAGGGAAAGCATCTCCTGTATTCTCACTTAGTTTAACACTGATAAGCTGAGTTTAACCATTATAACTCTGTCACTCTCTCTCATATA